AGGCAGTTAATATAATATAATAAATATTAAAAACAGCCACTTGGTTTCTAACTATCGATTAGGTAGGACCACATCCATCATCTAGTAGCGTCAGTTTAAGGTTGATAAGGTTAACAATTCACGGAGCGGTTTTCATTCGCGCCCGCCGGTGCTGGTAGACAGACTTTATTTTAATACTCACGACCCTGCAAGTTTGTGTGGACACGTAGCCGTCGCGGTTGCGGGCACGAAACCGTTGCGATTGCGGAACGGACCGCGAAGTGGGAGTTAATCGCAAGTCGCGTGGTTAATAGAGAACTCGCTGCGCGCGCCTGTACCATATTGCGCGTGAACCGCCCACTAAAGTGCGCGGGCGACGACGACCGCCAAGCGCGCAGGTGATCGCATCTTGCGCGGTTCAACTAGTACCCCGCCGCGGCAACCGCGAGCAACCGTCACCACTACAGGCGTAAAACGCGCCGTGAAATATGCTACTAATTTTACATACTTAACTATTACACTGTACAGATGCTGCGGTCCCGCGTCAGACGCGGGTGAAAACCGCTCCGTGAGTTCTTAGTGTAACGAAAAATGAGATTCAGCGCCATCTAACGTGTAATAGTTAGCTGTTATATACTAGTAGCATTTTTACTAAAACGCCACCTGATGGTGATATTGTAATATAACTCTTACTGAAGTGACTGTAAGTTTAATTTTGTTAAATTTTTAAAATTGTGTTACGTCGTTTTCAGGTTTTAAACCCTACCCATTCGAAATCTTTAAGTTATGGTAGTAGATAATAGAGCGTAAAGTTTGAATTGCACACAAGCTAAAAAGTGGCGACATCGGTACCCGATCTTACATAGCGTGATTACATATCTCCCTTTTTTCCTATATCTATGGTGATATCAGTCTGTGGATGATGATGATAAGTAATAGTTATTGTTAATAAATGATTACGTTATAATAATAATTGTCACTTTTTTCCATTGTGACAACTCTTGCATATGACTATGACAGCGCAAGTACCGCGGTATCACCGAACACCAAAGGCGTTGCGCTTCTGTAGGGAAATATTGTAATACTGTGATGATCTCTCTTCTTTTCAATGCGTTTTGCAATACTTAGATGTATCTGTCCCGTATATAACTTAAAATCAAATATAAATTTTCTAATTGTCAAATCACACATATTCTGCAATGCATTCTGAACCTCAAGTCTGTAACCCAGGGAAACAGTGTACGAAATGAGTTTCATATTTTATTCTGTTGTATGAACAGTCTTTCTGGTTACACATAGAGACTGGGCTGTTCTACCAATAAAGAATACATCGGTTTAGTACATACAATTCGCTGTAGGGCTACCACGACATGATAGTTCATATTTTGACGAGGTACACAGCTTAATTCAGGATGTATTAAATTTTATTGCGAATGATTAAAACAATCACGTGAGTACGTTGGGGTGGGCGCAAGATACGACTTCGTTTTTTAAAACATCTAGATGCATTAAGTGTTTTTTGAGATAGGTCACTATTATTATGTAGTCATCGAATTAATATCACAATCCAATTCAATAATATTTTGTATCTCCTGCTAATATATTAATTAAAATTTTCTACTAGCAGATGCTAGATTGTGCGGGCACTGCTGCAGTTCATGACCTACAGATGTCGCAGCTTCGTCGCCATCAATTCATTGAGCTCTCAGAGCCAATACCAGTGTTCTATTACGACTGGTCCGGCAAGATTCCTCTCGAGAAACGGCGTGTGGTCAAACAACAATTTAAAGCTGTTGATCCTGGAAGAGCTCATGTTGTTTTTATGTGGTGGGAACTCAATATGGACACTGAAGGTCAGTATGACAACATTAGAGTGTTTTATGGTTTTGGAATATCGTCCTCTTTAGCATGAATGGATGTAACTTACATTTACTTTTAAAGAAATGAGAATGATTTGAATATTTCGATTCTATGTTTGATTTACGCAGCTTGATCTAAAGTTTTATGTTCTGTGTTGTGACCTGAATTATTTTTTATTTTGTTATTAATAAGGCCTGTCACGTGTCGCTAATCACCAGGCGCACGATTTGTTCATCCCGTCACTTCCTATCATAATAAAAAAATGTTCGAGTTTGTTACAAAATTGACCAAGCGGAGATTCAGCTCTATCTCATCTAGATCATCCACTAAAAGATGATTAAATATTAGTGTTGCAACGAATAGTATTTCGCCTTCAGGCCGAATACCGAACGTTCAGCCCCGAATGAGGCCGAATAGCCGAATATTCGACCAAACTATTCTTCTCTAACTCTATTCGGCCAACGAGATCTTACGAAAAATGGTGCGCTAACCGCATTATAGCAAAGATAGCTATGGATACATATATGTAAGTTAAATTAAATTAAACCAGTAATGATGCATGATTTTGTAAAAAGAAACAAAAAAGGATTTTATTTTTAAGTTTATAATTTAAATTTATGACATCTTAACGAAGAAAGTAATTGTTTATATCACTTCAGTTTGATTAATTTTCAAAAACTTAATTTTATTTTCATTTGCACATAATAAGTACTAGGTTGATTTCGTTAGCGTGTATTTAATCATGATTTCATGACAAAATTACATAATAAGTAGGTAGTGTTCATTTGATTTGTTACCTTTTTTTGATCTCATAGAAGTTTCTAATTGCCATAATTAACTGTATATTCTTATTTCTTCCTCCAGTGTTTAGGTATTCGGCCGAATAGTGGAACTAAGTAAAATAGAAATGAAACTATTGCTATGGCACTCCTGGCTCCCTGACTCGGCAATAGTAAAGTCGGTGAACAAAATTGGCTTAAGTCATAGAAAATGACCGAATAAAACTCTTTCTCTTTCCATAGAGTCATAAACAGAGACAAATAATGTTAGACAAATAAATTAGAGATTATCAAAGTCAAAGTCAAAGTCAAAGATTATTTATTCCATAGGTAAAATAAATTTACACTTGAAAACGTCACATTTAAGCTTAAGCTACTGCTCGTTCACTACGCTGACCTCCCTGAGAAGAACGAGCAAGAAAACTCTAGAGATTGCTCTTTTCATATAAACTTAAATGCTATGGAATACACTTTGAATCAAATTTGTGTGGATTCTGGAGCCATGTCGTCTTTCCATACATCTTTATCTAACACATAATCTTCAATTTTGTAAATTTTTTTGTAAAAAAGCCACTCTGACATCGAGGGTAATGAGTCAGCGGATGAACTGGCAAAGGCTGGTGCCAGGGAAACCTTTATTGGACCCGAACCCTTCATAGTGATAGCATACAGCCTGGCAAAGCTCACTCTGCTAAATGAGAGCACACACCTCTCCCGAGAAGTGCTACAGAACAAGGGTCTTGAGCATTCAAAAGCCCAGATATCTGCCTGCAGTGACAAACACTGTAGAGAAGCTCTGTCATTGGACAGGAATGGCATAACAGTATTCACTAGAGCCTTAACAGGGCATTGTGGCTTAAACAAGCACATGCCAAATATTGGGCAGAGAGAGAATAGAGAATGTAGAATCTGCCACATGGCGGATGAAACCCTGTTCATCTACTCACCCAATGCTACGCCCTGATGGGGGTAGGAAGTTCCGTTCTGGGAAGGCACATGTCACAACCAGAGGACATTAAATCTGTCGGAGCCAGGAAAGTCCTTCAGTTTTTCAATGCTGTCGGCCTTGCCTCTGCGCTGTAATTAGTGGTGATCACAATGAGGTGATGCATAGGCCCTCAATGAAGCCACCCTAATAATAATAATAATCTTAATCTTAATCTTTTAGGCCTTAGGAGAGGCGAGAGTCTAAAATAGATGTAATAATAATATAAATTATAAAAAAATACTTAGGTAAAATAAAAGAATACTTAGATATTGTATAGAATACGGGATTACATACATTGCCTATATATAACGTATACACCGCATGACAATGGGAATGCGTATCAATGAACAAATAACATATTATGCGTTACTCGCCTCAGATGTTGTTTCTAATTTACAGGAAAAATAATCTTATCTTGCGCTCCATGGTGGTGCCACCCTGCTGCAAAAGTATCAGGCGAATACCCACAGGACTCCATACCCTGGCGCGATCACTGGATGCAAGCTGTCTATTACTTCCCAAGACCTTTAGACCTACACCGCCATCACGACTATACTCTTGTCTGCTGCCAAGACGAATATTCTCTCTGGTTCTACGTAGAAAATGTTGAAGACGAGAATGACTTTGGCATGGAATATTACCAGCGGCCGGTTTGCGACTGCCGCATACACATGGCTTGGCCACGAACGCACGTGGCGAATCTTAACGATCATGTACGAAATAAGATATTCTTGAACCAATTGAAGCAACAGTTGATGGAAGTGGGCAATAATGCCGTTGTGTTAGATTTGAATGGCAGTAGTCTTTTGGGATTGTTTGCTTCGAAGTTGGGAGCGGAGACTGTTTATATTTTGGAAGATAATTCTCTGAATTTAGGCATCCTTAGAGACTACATGAGGGCGAATCGTATAAAGAATGTAAAGTTCTTAACGGAGGAACAAGTGACTGATGATTTGATGAAGGACATTTCCATTGTTACTTGTAATCCGAACTTCAGTTCAGCGCTACTGCCTTGGGAGAATTTGAAGTATGTGCACTTGCTGTACCAGTTCAGGAAAAAATTCAATACGACGACTGCCTTGATGCCTGATTTTTGTACGTTTTACGCGATGCCTGTTGAATTTTTGGACTTGCACAAAATAAGGATTCCTTTGGGAAAATGTGAGGGTATTGACATGTCCCCATTTGACCACCTTATTGAGGTATGTTTTAAAGAACTTACATTATTACCATAGCATAAGTAGACAAGTACAGAAGTATTTTAGGGCAGGGATGGACGGAGAAGGATATGTGCGTCCGTACAAGCTGCCCAACCTTTGTATAGAGTTACCATACTTGTTTTATTATACTACGTTATTACTAGTGATCGGAATTAAGGGAGTTAATTTACCTAAAGTATGATCGTTTTCTTAATATCGTCATGCCCATTTCGTCATCAGTGGGTATAAAATTAAATGCTTTATTGTTTATTTGCTAAACATTCCAAAATGTAGGTTGTCTTATGTATATTTTTTAAATGGCTACAGTATTTGGATGCGTAAGTAACCTATAGAAACACAAATTTATTTTTGAGACAATAATTTGCAGTTCGCATCTGACACAAAAATTATTTTGTATTAAATACTTAATAGGAAATATTTTTTGCGTCAGTAGAATTCATTGTGAAAGAGTTCGTCCAGGGGAGTACTGCTACTTTACCTATTTCTGCCGCCAAGCAGTAGTGTTAGCATTACTGCGTTCCGGTTTTGAAGGGTAAGGGTGCTGGTGAAATTACAGGCACATGGGACTTTCAACTTATGTCTCAGAGCGACGCCGACGGGCACAGTGGCAGTACCCCTCAGACCTTTGGTATTTAAAGCTTCAAATCTTTAAATACCAAAGATCTGAGGGGTATGGGTAATGCTGAGATTACTGCTTGGCGGCAGGAATAGGTAAGGTGGTAATACTTCTTTGGACGAATAATTTTACAAGGAATTTTACTTCTACTAAGGATTTGGGTGTAATTTGTGATTGTCTTATGTGTGTGTCCATGGCACCCGCGATACAGGGTTTTCCTACTGCGGGGCTATAAGTGTGTTTTATCTCTATATATTGTATTTTATTTCTCTTATTTATCAAATGCTTATTTACGCTATTTTAAGTACTTTCTCATATTCTTAGATGATAACCATGATTTCCTATATGTCTATTGTAGAGTTCCCGCGGAATAAGCGACGCGGAACTCGAAGCCCAACCCCTGTGGGAGTACCCGTGCCTCTGCCGCGGCCTGCCGCGCAAGCTGCTCGAGTTGGACATGCACGATATTAACGTCACTTACGCACGAAACGAGTCATATCAGATTGCGTAAGGCTCCATTTACATTAATTATAATATTTCTTTATTGCACAAAGACATTAAAAATACATGTTACAAAGGACGTATATAAAAGTGAGTAGAAGAGATCTCTTACAGCCGACCGTAGTGGTGGTGAGTAATGAAAGTCTACGGGACTAATTATTGTACAATAAATTTATGAAAATATGAATGTAAATATAACGATATAAATTTCTGTGAGAGAAGTATACGCCAACAGGCCTTCCACTTAGAAACTGAGTCGGTTCCTGAGGTGAGGAGTGACAGTTTAAAAGTGCCAAATGGCTTGTCTATTCATTTCAATTATCAATGAAATGGGTTTTTTTACATACTAACATATTATAGGTAGTAATATTAATACTATACTAATAGTTAGTAATATTAATATATTAATAAGTACTATTCTTTTACTTTGTTAAGTTAGTTAATTATGTATATACTGGTTGTTTTGTAACGTGTAGGTAAGAAAGAGCGGAGTCTCCTGACACAGGCTATGTTTAAAAGGAGGCTCCAGCCCCTATTGTTTAAGAAACCATGTTTTAAGATAAATAAAGATTATTATTATTAATTGACTAATTTGATAGGCGCTTTTGTGTATCAACTTCCTACATATATAAATATTTTTATAATATCAAGAGACGGGACGAACAAGTCGTGCGCCTGATAGTAAGCTACACGCCTATCCATAGCTTAACTTAAAAATAGCTTTTGAAAAAAAAAATATAGTAAAATCGAGGATGTACACTGATTACTACATGGTGTGAAAACAATTTATTAAAAACATTCTATCGATAGAAAAAAATATACAAACTTACCTCGAAATTTTACAAGAAAACTGCTGTATTCAATAGGTATTTTACATAACAATATACCAATGATTTTTTTATATCAACTGAACTGAATAGAACTCGTATACTATATGATATACATTTTTGAAATGGATTTAATTTCGTGTAAAAAAAATATTCTGAAATAAAGCCAGCGGACCTGCCGCTCGACCCAAGCAGAATGAACCGTATTATGTAAATGTAGATTCTCAAGTAAAAACTTTTTGTTACCAGTAACGATGGAGATCGCGTCCAGCCAATAAACGGTTTTGCAATTTGGACGATTTGGAAGTTTGGAATCAAGCAGATCACGACAGGGCTCACGCTGTGGCCCCTTATCGGCGACCGCCTGTACTGGGAGCCTTACACTCGACAGGGAGTTAAGATTTTGGTAAGAAAATTTTCCTCAAGCAGAGACCGTAGGTTTGAACTTCGAATTCGGACTCGCATCTCAGAGTTCATATAATACGTTTCAGTGCCCAGGAATTACAGAATATAACAAAAACGTCGAATCGTGAAATCTAAATAAATTTCGATTTTTAACCGAATACAAAAAAGGAGGAGATTATCAGTTCGACTGTATTTTTTTCTATGTATGTTGCGCGATTACATTTGTTGATCTTTATGATTCTTTTTGTCGGAAAGAGAGTACCTCGGTGTATGTAAATTAAAAAAAATCCACCTTTAAGGGTGGCAAACTAGAGGATGAATCCGGTTTCGCGCACTTTCCGGTAACCGAATTCAATAAAACTTGGCCAATAGATATTCCGCGAACTATTGAGGTCGGTTTTATTTTATTAAAAAAGTCATAATTGTTATGATTATGAATATAAAGATCAAACACACAGAAAAATTTTTTTCGTCGACCCAGTGGGACCCACGCCTATGCTGCACCGTAGCATTGCTCTAACCATCTGAGCCACGGGTCCAGTTATCCAGTTGTACCGAGTCGTCGAATTTCTCTTTTTTTGTTTTTTTTTTTATAGATCATTGTATAGACTTTTCGGCATTCGTCGCCGCTATGCCGCTGCCGGGTGGACGGAAAAATTATTTCGTGTGTTCGATGTTTGTACTCATCATCGTAACAAAACTACTGGAGTTAATTCACGAAAAATCTCAACAAATAGTTATAATTATTATCATACAAATATCAGATCGACGCATATATTCTACGGGATCCAAAGCTCTTTCTTTTGAAGAATTTCACAATTTTTTTGCTAATAAACAATTAATATCTCGAGTTCCATCACTAGCTGAAGTACGGTCTAACCATTACGTTCATCCATATTCGTCAGTTACAGTGCAGTAATGAAGAAATATGCTTTGAAAATTTCAGAAGCAAACCTACAAAATGAAGCCGACTGATGAATGGAGTTGCCAAATAGCGGCTGACCTCGAAACAGGCCAGTTCAACCTGAATATTGACCTGGTCAACGCCGAAAGACGCATCCCTGCCTCCAAACGCAGGAATTCGCCAGTTCCTTTACGTTAGATCTGCTGTATTTACTAGGGACCCATAACTACAAGACCATTGGCTACAGTTTAACTAGCAGAACAACTGTGACATTGATTTTGTGATATCAAATGATGAGACGAACAAGTCGTGCGCCTGGTGGTAAGTGACATGTCTATTCCTAACAGTTGCAGTACCACTCAGAGCTTCGCAATAACCTGAGGGGTACTGCCATTGCGCCCGTCACCCTGAGACATGAAGTTGTCAAGTCCCGTGTGTCTGTAATTTCACCAACATCCTTAGCCTTCAAAATTGGATCGCAGTAATATTCACATTATAGCTCGGCGGAACAAATTAGTATGGTGGCAGTACTTCTCTGGATGAACTCATTCACAAGCTTCCATGCTACTAATCATGATATTAACAGGTAATTAGTAGAAATCGTAACAATAAGGCCGCCTGTAGTACATTAGCTTATTCTGTGATACTTTACTGTTCTGCGTTGTTACGTTATTTTTTAACGTGCAGTAATAGTAGTTTATGTGACTTACATAATAAAAGGCATTAAAATACGGGTGAGGGCTTCAAAAACATCACACGAGTGTTTTAATATTTAATTATGTACAGTTACATACACTGCTTTATCTACACACAAGCTCTCTTTGATGTGTTCAAGAACCGCATGTTACGACAGGAGAAATAGCGACAAATAAAAACTTTTCTCACGCATGTCACACAACTTTAGATTATTTTTTTCCATCCTCTAAGCACACAACCGTAGTTTTTATTTAATTCATAGACAAACTTGAGTCGGCCCCAACTATCATATCGTTCGATGTCAAGTAACGTATGAAATTTGTGAAAATTGTTTGCTGTTGACATTTCCATAAAACTTCATCTCGACTGATACCAGAATCGAGTCGAATGAAATTGTTTTGTTTTTCAGAGATGTTCGAAATTTCGATGTTATTATGAAGCAATAATAACAGTTTCACAGATAAAAATTTGTTCTAACAAAATAGTTTATCTTTATGCTGGTCATAATTTGCGGTTTTCGAACACATCATAGAGGGTTTATGATATGTGTGTAGATAAAGAATATTTCATTCGTTCACTCACTCATGCATTCATTCAAAACGTGATGAAGCCGTTTGGATATTGGCGGTGGGCGGGACGGGGACTCGTGTCACCAATTACGGGCGCACTGTCTAGATTCAAATTGCAGTAAACAACATTATATGTGGCCAATGGTTTTCGTGTTTGTAATGCATAATTTGCCAGTTTTCTTTATTATGGATCATTTCATCCGTTCTCGAGATCAGACAGCGTTTCACCGTACCTCTGATATAAGTTTGTGTCGTCGATGGTCCCTAGCAACAGTGGGAATGCGCTGACAATTTTGTATGACATATTGTGCAGCGCCCCTGACGGTCACACGAGGAAATAAAATGTTCAAAACAAATACTTTGGGTGGCTAGTGACTGTCGACTTGTAAACTCAGAGGTTTCTAGATGTGTAATGGTAGATGTCGTTGTTTTTTTTGTTTATTGTTGTTGGTGACATATTCGTAAGGTCGTAAAATGTGTTGAGCAACATTTTTGCAAAAAAAAATTGATTTATCACGATTTGAGAACGATACAATAATAAGCAAATGCTGTACGTGCGCCTTCAAATTAGACTCTTATAGAAGCATTGCAGTGGCGCCACCAGTGTTTTCCTTTTCGTACATTACGAAAGAAAGAGACAACAACAGCGGCCACACGGCCGAGTCTGCAATTAGGCTTAGTGGAACTTTAAACTTGAACATATCAAAGAAGAAATATATTAAATTGGGTAAAAAATATTATACGGTACACCCAGAGCCGAACAGAAAGAAAGTTACCGTTCTTTACTAGTCCAATATTTAAACTAAAACTTAACTTTTAAAGTTACGTTAGAAAAATAGCTGACTTGTTCAAAGGGGAAGTTTAGAAGAAAACTGCAAGTATTCTTGGTAAGTTGCAAGTTGCTGGTAAGCACAACTTTGACTTATGAACTAGTTATTGTAAACCACTTTGTGGGTGACTGTCTTCTGGGATAAAATTACACACGCATAACGTTTTTAAACAACTAATTTTGAAATAACATTTAGCAGAAGTTGCAGTGGCACTGTTGTCACAATTACTTAACAAAAAATTACTGAAGCGCTACAGATGCGCCACTGCAGTCAGTTTAATTTGAAGACACCCTTAATGTGATGGTTTACGGCCTAAGACTTCTCACCAAAAGCCTCGTGCTCAATGAGGTACATGCTCATAAATGATAAAAAAAAAACTCGTATATGCCATCTATGAATGAATACGAACTTTGATTTATAGATGAAACATTTTACGATCTTACCCAAATGTTACCGACTCGTTTATAGTACTGGCTAATGGCGCAATTAGTAAATAATAATTTAGTTAAGAAAATGCCCTAGATATAAATCGTCTGCGACGAAAAGTGCCACGTGATTTTTGACGACTAGAGTTCGCGTTACACAACATGAACAAATTATCATTTAAAGATCTAGTGGTTGCTCTACCAGAATCTTTAATCAAATATGAGGAGCGTCGGAACAAAAATCGCCAAGTCACTTTATGACATTTCCTTTTTATTTCATTCCACAAGGTAGATTTTGTTCGTTTCTACGAATAATTTGTCTAACCTGAAGATCAACTACTAAATGCTCTTTTAAAATACGTTTCAAATGCACAGATCGGTGCCTCTACCACGAGTTTACTATGACAGTTGTTCCTAGCGACCGCGTAAATTACGTCACAATTTTGTGTGGCAAATTAAACAGCGCCCCTAGCGGTCACAAGAAGAAACAACATTTTGTATACAAACATTTTACGCGGTCGCTAGCGATAACTGTCCTTGTAATCTCTTGGTACAGTTACTGAACATAATGTGACAAAGCCGTTCGATGAGACTAGATGGACTAGACGAAATTAGAATCAAAATTTATCGGTTTTGTTTCGAAGTTCCTCATATGCGAATTTCGTATGCCAATGTCAATTTGGTATCTCTGATTTGATTTTTCACTATAATCAATACAATCAAACAATCAATAGTTGATTATTATTAGTACACTAAAGTATGGAACATTCCATCTGTAGAATTAAAAAAATATAAGCACCAAGAATAAGTTTCAATTTTCCCACCTGTAATTAGGCGCTGCGTAGAAGGAGCAATTTTAATTTGTGCAACTGTCAACAAATAAGACTCATAGATGGTGCTACAGCTGAAAAGTCGTTGGAAACCAAATACAAAGATCCGACAACAAGGACATAGAAAAATTCGTGAGGTCCGCCGGTTCGTTCCCTGGCTTAGTTGGCATAGCGTCTGGTGCGGTTTGCTCAGGAGGACGACGGTTCGATGCCGGCCGTATTGCAGGATTTTTTCTTTTATTCTTTCTTTTTCTTATATCTTATTTTTGTCCCAGGCCTTTGTATCCCTGGCTATACACATGTGCTTATATTTATTATAATATTTTAGCTACATTTAGCTAAATGTATAAAAAATTAGGAGATTTTTGGCCAGTGTATCCTGCCTGATACAACTTAAAAAAAATATTAAAGGGGCACAGAGAGAGGGGGGGTTCAGGACATTAATTCCACACACTAAATTAATACCAATAGAAACTATATAAATAAGAAAAATGTGATTTTCACATTTTCCTCTCGGAGGCCCTCGGCGCTGAAGGTGTTAAATTAACTTTCAAATTTCATGGTCAAGCACGAGAAAGACTGACGCTGCGGGGGACGGTGAAGGAGTGTAGTCGCTCAACGTGTTGCGGTTATCGGTTGGGGAACGAACTTTAGACAATCGGTACAAACTTGTCAGTCTCTAGTTGTGGCAATTACCAATTTCAAAAATTGCAGATTTCGGCAATCAAAAACTGTTGTCAAATACCGAAACTCTCAACCGAAATGGCTGCGTCTGCGCAGTTTCTTGTAATTATATGGAAAACGTCATAAAAATAAGGTAGTTGTGGGTTGTCAATTGCCTAAAGGATCAATTACTCCTGCGCAGCGTCTTAGACGTATATAGAAGTATAAGTTACATATACATATTATGATATTATACAAGGTACGGTCAGTAACTAGGAGTCGTATTCTAGAACTCTACTCAATGCTCAAGTCAGGATTTGAGTAAGGTTCAAAGCACTCGAAATCATACTCAAGTCCCTGCCATTAGGGTCGTCTTTCCAGTGCTTGTGTTGCCAATGCAATCCTGACTTGAGCATTGAATAGAGTTCTAGAATACGACCCTAAGAGACGGTATGTGTATCGAGGACTTTAAATCTATTGCTGAACTTGTTCTCATATGTATTTTTTCTTTTTGTATTTGAATGTCTTGTGGCCAAGCGTACATTTATTTAAAAAAAAGTTACTATTCCCCATACTAAAAGAAAAAAAATTAGTGTTCTGATTATAATGTATATGAAAATTTTATTGAATTCATTTCGGTATCTTAAAAAATTTCATTAACGGGTTTTGGAGGCAATTTTTATCAATTACAAATATGATATCACATTCTTGGTGTAATAAGGCCACATCTGCGAAGTGACAACTTTTCAAGACAGAGGCTTTTAAAGCTTTTATGAACGAAGTAGTTGTTAACTTTTTGATGCTTAAATAGCAGACTTATAAAATTTGACATATACACAATTTATTTAATATATTAGTTTTATGGTTTTTTTGTGATAACAATCCTTCGATGTACAATCACATGTGGCTTTATTATAGCCATGGTACGATGTTAATTAACAAATAATCCGTTCTAATGATAATTATCCGCTTTATTTATATTACCACAATGTAAAATAAGTAAATTGGAAGGAAAGGAGTTAGGAGTTAAAATTATTCTGTTAATTTTTCGGAGTGTGCTATAGATAGTACATTGTGCATTAAGGGCGGTAAATAAGGAATTACGAACGAACCTCTATTAAAAACCCAAAGTCGAAGACTAATGGCTTTCGGAGTCGACGTTCGTAATTCGCGTACCGCCCGTGAAACATATAAAGTTTTTCATCACACTTGCACGTAAAGTAGTATAATTACAGCCGTGTACAGCCATCTTTTCATTACAGCCATGGTCGGTAATGAGTTATATTTTAATTTGTAGAAAAATCTCATTACTGACCGCGGCTGTAATGAGAACAAAAAGACCCGAGGGTTTTATTTGGGGTATTATAGTCAAGTTAGCTTGTATGCAATCACACTATTTACGTGCAAGTGTGATGAAAAACATTGTGTATTTCAGTATTGAAGAGTTAAAGATTTCGGTACATACCCTCTCTTATACTATAGTGCAATAAGACAAGTAGGGCAACTCCCGCCTTTTCGACGCGTACATGCCTACACTTTGCTCATAGAGTAGGGCTGCCACAATATTATTTTACTTGTACCTACAGGTTGTGAACATAATTTGAAAAATGAAGGTGTCGTTAATTGTCGTGCTATATTGAAATAACCTTTGTTTTCATATCAGCATCGCTGATTGGTGTTTCGATTTTGGGAGTACGCTTATGACATAGAAATGAATGCTGAACAATTCTGAATCTTTAAACTTCAAGCGAACATTTTGAATTTATAACGAATGGCGGGTGTAATCCGCGTTATGTAACGAGAGCTCCGCGAGATTATGCGAATGTGTAGGTCCTTAAACGGCGTTCGGGAGGCGACAAGCTGCTACGTTTTTATCACTTACAAGCTGAACTTACAAGATGATTTACAAGCTGAGCTGCTACGTTTTTATCAAGTTACCGTACTTGTCTTATTATATTCTGCTTATACCCTGTATGAGCCTCGAATACATGATGAAGTTAAGACGTCTCAAGCATTGAGCTAGCGCGAATTTGTTGAACTGCGGATTAATGTTTAGCGTCCTGCTGTTGTATTCATTTGAGTTAATACTTTAGCTGGTTCAAAATTTTACCACTTTTTAATGTAGTAGTTTAATCTTTGTAGTCGTAGATTTAATCGCCGGATACAGTGTATTTATGTGTTTAGCGGATGTTTAGGTGTAGTATTTTATCCACACAGGATGTATTATTACCTTATATTTTACATGTGGATAAAAAAAACAAAAGTTACATGTAGGGTTGCCACAGTGACGTTTATTTTATGCATAAAAAATGTAGCACGTTAATGCAGTGATTTGTTAGCGGTGATGTTTAGGGGAGACCCATGTCTAGGAGTGGACGCTTTTCGGCTTAAATATTGCAACGCTTATATAGACAACCACAGTACTATTTTTAAAGTCCAAATTTAGTTTTACGTAAATTGATGGTTAGCATTGTTGATGAGACGAAGATGTTTGTTAGAACCGTACTAAGTGAAATTCTGTGATCTCTGCCGACACCGATGGAAAAAGGACGGAAAATATGTAATCTTACATTATAATTTTCTCATTAGCTCGCTACTTCAATTAAAAAGATTTAATTCAGAGTATGTAGGTAGAGGTTTCTTACCCCGAATTAATTTGGTTTGTCATTTAAATGCTTATACGTTGTGACATTCTTTATTTGAATTACCAAATGAGCGAGAAGAAAAATGTGAAAACACGATAGAGTGAAATATACCTATTTATTTATTATTGACAATGCAATCGTCAATTTCCGTTCTATTGGATGTTGGACTTGAGTAAATAGCCATCGTAATTTTTAAAATACGGTAATTATTTCGCATCGAACATATAACCAGAAATAGAGAAAAGACAAAGGGCAAATGGGCATTATATCACTTTTAAATATCAACTCGCGTTTGCGCTGAAATCACAAATGAGAAAGCTGAAATAGTACAGCGCCAACAACTGACCTGTGTGCATGTCTCAAAAATATTCTGTATTTTATTGTAATAAAGATAATATCTCTAACAATGGGGGGCTGTTCCATTCGGTAGTGTGGGAAAAACAGCAAAACATGTAATAGTTACAAAAGAAACGGAATCACATTTCATCGGTAATTAAATATTAAATATGTAATATTTCAATTTCATTATAGCAAAGTTCAAGTTAAACTGGTCGATTTGAAGTGAAACAATTGACGGGTGTCGTCATTGACGTTTCGAATTCGGGCTGGCCAATCGGAACGCAGTTGTTACCGTAATGATTCGGCAGAATAGTTTTCAAATAAATTAATTGACATTTCGTCTATATTTCTGGTTATATGCTCGATGTTATTTCGTCTATATTTCTGGTTATATACTCGATGTTATTTCGTCTTTACTCATTTTAACATAGGAATGGTAACCCGTAAAATAATAGTCACCCTGTAACAGTCTTCGTCCGTCACGGTTGAATTATAATAGTAAACACAAACAATTATTCTACTCCTATTTTCATATGTCGAAGATATGTAACCATCAGAGATCGGAGTAGACAAGAGTAGATTTACTCTAACGTCAAGTAATACATATAAAGAGACGAATATAGCTCTCTGATATTCCAAAATTAAATAAAGGCAAAAAAATCAAAACTGAATATTTATATTTTTACTTGCAGTTACATAAAGCTTTTCCTTTATGTACACTACCACAGTGAAGTAATTCTTAGTGTCCACATCAAAACTGTACAACAATATACTATGCAATCATTCTGAGATTTCAGGTTATCACAGTTTTACAAACAATACAGTTGCGCGACGACGGTACTTGCGCAGAGTAGAGAGTGGGTATTCCCGGGGAAGCGGGCGCATCCCGCAGACACGCCTACTTTGTGGGAACATGCGCTAAGGATGGGACACGTGAATTATTTAAAACATTTTTGAAGACATTCAGCGAATTCTACAAAAATTGTTGCATATAAACTATTCTCTTTACGGATGTAATTCGAAATAAAACGGCTACGAAACAACATTTGAGATAAATTTATTAGACTTACTAAAATAAGTACAGTAGAATTTAAATCACGTCCACTATCATATTTCTTCTGTTTCTTTATGATGAAATTGTTCATTTGAATGCGGTGAATAATTCAATTGAACTATATTTATAACATTTAAATGTAATACATTAAATTTAATAATATAAAACTGAAAACCAAAGAATAAAGTGTCACACACAGTGTCGCACTTGCATATAAATCTTTATTACTTATCTATTATTAAGTTCTTAGGTTTTCTTATTATTATATTAGTTGCAAAGGTTGTAAACATAATAAAAATAAAAAAAAGATTTTCATCACATATCCTCGCGTTATATCGAAATAACCTTCGTTAAATGCAGTACTGAAAATGAAATACTGAACAATTCCAATTTGAGGCACTCTGGATTAAACACCTTTAAACGTTTGCTATTTGATTTCATCTTCAGTTCTGTAAATGGCGCATGTGACCACACTCGCTATGTTACGCGAGTTCACCGTGAGATTAGGCAAATGTGTGTGTCTTTCCACGGCGCACGGCTGGCGCGCACACATACAAAGTCGCGCTGCAACGTTTTTATGGAGTTACTCGTACATGTTGTTTGTCTTATTACACTATGATAATACATTCTAATAATTATTTCCTTGCAGTTTAGGTAAATGTACTCGAGCTATTTCAATCTCTGGTGTTGTACGTATTGGTACCTATTTTCCTTATAAAGTTGTAACATTACAGAACCTTGGCGTCTGCGACGATTATTGCGTACCTCGAAGACTGCTAACTGAAAATCGTACGAGTGTAAATTAGAAGATAATTTTTTTTCTCAAGAGGATGCAATTTGTTAGTATTTTCTTCGTTTATTCATGTCACTACGCTATAAAACCCACTGTCCACCACTAAAATGGAATACGAGATGTATTTCAATGACTAACGAGAAAGAGATATCAATGTATTTTGATATGTGCCTACAGTTGCGCATTTTTTTTTGTTTAAAAACAGGACCTTAGGTTCGCCTTCAAATTAGACGCTTATACAAGCGAGTTACAATATTTCTGTGGCTTTTGTGAAAAGGTGTAGAAGTAAAAAAATACAACTTTATAGGAGACCCGAAAAACAGTTAAAGCTTAATATGATATTAAGCGTCACGTTTCCTCGTAAAGTTGGCTTTTTTGACTTGCATCCGTGACCGAACGGTTACCATGCCATGACTGCCACGCTCCTGGGTTTGATTCTCAGGCCGGGAGAAATATTTGTATGGCCTACATTTATTTCTCTCGCGAGTTGCAGCGCCACTGTCGTGACACGCGCGTGCCACTGCAGTCAGTATAGTTTGCAGTCATTATAAGTGAACTAAAAATGACTGAATCATTACAAGCGTCTATAAGTATAATTTGAAGGCGCCCGTAAACACATCTCCGCTTTGGTGGATAAGGGGTCTCGAGAGCTGTGTGCCGCTGGCAATTGATCTTTACGATTTTGAACCTAGACAAAATTTTAAGTGCATATAATTTTTACAGAGTGTGTTATGTGCAATAATTATAATAAATTCAATTAGAAGTGAATTATTTTATGTATAAAATTTTGTTGTGCATTGTGTAATTCTGAATTTAGAACACGTCTTAAATAATAACAAAATCACGTTCGGAAATTTGATGTTTCTTATTTGAACAGACCTCGGTCGCTAGCGACAACACTAGTCATAGTAAAAATAAAAACGAATGAAATAGGTTTAACGCTAAGTTCTCTATAACGAATTACCTTATAAGGTCGAGTCGTTTATAGAATCAAGCTATCTAAAAACACAAGCGTATTCCTTGTAAGTGTCTCACCTGTAGGATATTAATTTATAATTAATAAAATTTTTCCAGAGATCGCTATTTTATTTTAGAGTTGCTCACTTGCTAAATTTAAATCTAGCTTATATGTTCGACTGTACTGTCATGGCCTAATTTTAAAGAAGGCCATACACGTTCCGGCACATCACACGTTTTGTGCTACAGATTTGGCTCGTTCGAAAGAAACACTTGTTTATTACCACAAGGGATACCACAGAAAAAAACAAAACTAATTAAAAATGAAACATAAAAATAATATGACTGAAAAATAAGTTTACAAAAAATATTCACAAAATAAAATCGCATTTCGATCACCTCAGCATTTGTTGTAAAATACATCGTGTTCCCAGTACTGACTTTCAGTTAAGACCTATTGTGAGGTCACGGAACATCATACGCAAGCATATTATCACATAATAGGTACTTATTATTGGCGCAACGTGAATGAAAGCCGACAATCCTTGCGGCTGTCGCAACGTGGATGGCCCCTTTATGGTTTTAATACTTATAATAACTATTGAGAGTGTACGTGGTCTCTGGTTAAACTATTTTAACCATTCGTTTTAGAGAACTTGCTTCGTGTATTCATGTTTATTTAGAAAGTAATATTCTTACATTGCTTTATTCGGAGTTACTCGAGTGTTGCCCAAGTTGATTATTGCATTGTTAATCTACTTCATTATAGCTTACAAATAGACAATACAATTTTCTCGCTCAATATATCGCCACTGCGATTAAAAGGCTATTTTAGCTGTTCATCTATAAGGTTTATACTCGGTTAAGATTGCACAATGCCATTCTCTATTTCTGTAAGTGAGAGGTAGAGGACTTTTCAATATTTTCGAATTTAGTATAAACATTGCCTAAGGATGCTAAAAATCACGCAATGGGAAAAGAGAAAAGTCCTATCGGCGTTTGTTTTTTTTTAAACATATTTTATTTAACCTTAACATTGATTTTATAAACCTAATCAAGAGCCTCATTCTCTTTAAAACGTATTGTATTAAAAATTACTATTTGGCACTTAAGATTCCTTTACTTCTCACCTACGGATTATAATAACGGGAAGTTTTTCTTGAAAATATTTACGTATACCGTGCTTACATTGCCACTGGGGCAGGCAGAGGTCATGAATCACTACTCGCGCTCCTGACAGACTTCTTTCGCCTCCCCCACTCGCATTAGTCTCTTCACACGTGTCCGTTTGTACCTACTTGGGTGTGTTTGTATATATGATACCAAGAGACGCCACTCAGAGCTTTAAATCGCAAAGATCTGAGTGACAAGTCCCACGTGCCTGTAATGTCACAAGCACACTTACCCTTCAAAACCGGAACGCAGTAACGTCAACAACATTACTTCTTGGTGGCACAAACATGTGGTAGTATTTCCCTGCACAAACTCTTTCACAAGGAGCTTAGTTTGTACTTTTATCTACCACACTTATCGACATAAAATCGCATTAAGCCATGCAAGAAGAGCGAAAAGGACGTGCGTTTCGCGTCGGCGGTCCTTTTCGCACTTATTACTTTTCTGACAGGATCAAGCCGATTCCGCGAGGGTCGTGCCTCCCTAACCTGGCCTTTGACATTTCCAATCTCATCGAGATATGTACAAACGTATTTAAATTTTACCATAGTTGAACAAAAACTTTAAAACATAGTTTCTCAAAGTGGTTCCTACCAATGGGCGCTGAAGAGTCCTAGCGGTCGGGACCTCGGAAGCAATTGGGGGCGTTGATGCTGTCTAGGAGGTGCTACGGCATTTGAAAAAACCTGGATGATCTATATAAACAACACTACATATATATGTATTGTTTTTCCTTGTGATATTTTGTGCTCGATTAATATAAAAAATACATAGGAAATGAAGCTATTTTTCCGGATTTAAATCGCGTATATTTATTTTTTCAAACAAACCGACGTTTCGAGCCCTTTGCAGGTCCCATGGTCACGGTTGACTGAGGTGGTACCACCTCATGAGTCATCAATCAGTTATGTCTAATATTAATGCAAACCACCCTATTTTTTCACTATACTTACAAAAGTTATTACATAAATAAGTTATATTGAATTTTACAAAGAAAACGTTCCAATTTACGCTACATTACGTTTTACAAATTATTTTGTTGAATGAGTTTTTATTAAGTTCAATTTATTATTAATTAATAATAGAAATTAGAAAAATTTAAAACGTATTAATTAATACTGCAGTCTTATCTCTGTTTGGGATTTTTCATCAGAGGAAATACTGGATCCCAAACTGGTGGTACGGAGAAACCATCTTCCCTGTTGAAATTAGGATGTTTTTTTAATTTCAATGGCCTCTCGCAGCATCCGGGGTAGATAACGGACTTCTTTTGCAAGGACCTGGGGTTTGTCAAACTTCATTGAATGTGTAGGTTTATCATGACATGCTCGCAGACTGCAGACTTGTTTACGTGACTGTGTTTGACTTCGGTTATATGTTCTTTGACGTGGGCACAAATACTTCGCTTCGTAAAAATACGTGTTTAATGTTATAATTTTTTTATCTTGCCTAAGTGGGCGGTGAGTAAAAGTTTGGGAACATATGTTATTGAAAAACGTTTGAAGTAAAGAATTTTCCAATAATATTCGTGCGGAATTCGAGTAACTCTTTAAATGGACTTTAGAAAATAGTACTGTATGACTATAAACCACGTTTGATGTCTGTAACCATGGATGTTAGGGTTAAATAATTTCCTAATATTAAGTTACATTTCTGTGATTTAATTTTTTTTCATGTGTAAGTTTAGTTATATATTATTGAAAATTATAGCTATTTTGTATCCTAGTTTTGAATCAACTGCCCTCAATTCTGTTGCGCTTTAAAACGGTCACACATATTAAGCAACAGTATTATAAAATAACATTTAAAAGTCAGACAATTGTACGAGCCGAATTTGAAAAGTGACAAAAAAAAGATATAGAGCGAATGTGGTTCGTTAGATAGGCATGTCTTTGAAATGTATTGGTTGTAGACCTAGACCCAGCGATGGGACGTTTATGGGTTGAACAATTTGATAGGCATTAAGCTAGGTTTTATTAGGTAAGAGTTCAAAATATGCGCATCAGAATTGATCCTCTTTTTGTTGTTACGATGTATAAAGTTGTCCAGAAAAACGCTCTCTTTATTTTTGTTTCTGGTCGTATATTTTTATTTTGCACTGTAATGTATTCATCTTTGCATTTATAATTATTACTAATTTAAATAAAGCTTTTACACTACACAATGGAGTTTTTTTTGTATCGTGAACAAAGTAGAGTCCTTATTCTTTGAAATATTTTATTTCATGCTTTAACTGTCTCGTATACCTATTTTAATATTCTTCACAAAAGGAAATGTCGATGCAAACCTGCGCTCGCGTCGGTCCAGGCTTGTTTATGGGAATAAAATCAGCACGCTTCCGCAAGCTTCCTAGAAGACGGATAGTTTAGACATTGACCATAGTGATTTATTGCTAGTACAAGTACTAGCACAAGTGATTTCCTTTGGCATAAATTTACAGAAGGGGTTCATTATTGATATAGTTAGTTTTTTTTCCAATTACGCATAGATTAATTGCTCACTAATTAAAAATTAAATGAAAGCAGTTTTTTTGTCTCCAAAAATTATCGGAGAAAATGACTTTCTTGAGAGTTTTAATGAACATTTGGAATTATAAACATTTTCGGCAATTTCAAAATTAAGTAATTACAGAAAGTAGAAAAAGAAAAGCTTGCCAATGACGAGAAAACAAAACATTTCACAATTTGTCCCAGTATTTAACGACGTAGCAAACTCATGTTGCGTATAAATTTATTCATTTTCGATTTGCATAAGTAAAGAATGATTTATTCGTTTGTAAGTATGTGTGTTAATGGGGAAGACTTATGGGCAATAATTCCAGTTGCTCAGGCAAGCAGGTGCAATGTTTTGATAGCAGATTTTAAATGAATATCTAAGATGCAAATATGGTAATAAACAATAGATAATTTATATGAATATCTACGTAGTTACGTGAGTGTGAATGCAGCGATTTATGCGCATTGTAATAAAGTTCTGACAACGCGAAAATGCAGTTGTAGCAAAAACAAAGATTGCGTTTTGTAATTCTACGAAAATCCTTGCTTTTTTATCAACAACGAAAAAGTCGTGCGTCCTCTGGTAAGCGACATGCCTATCCATAACAGTAGCAATGCCACTCAGAGCTTTAATAGCAAATATTATTATTATTATTTCATTAATAGCCGCCACTATACTTAGGCTAGTGTTACAATAGTTTCGATGTATGTTGTCACTGGTTATATACTCGACGGTTGTCACGAACGTCTCTTCGCTTTCCGACTAGCAGCTTGATTTTGATTGCCTCTTCCGATCGGAAATTGCGTCTTTTCCGAGTCGAGGCGCATAATTGCGATTGACAACTGGCAAGTTCGATCGGAAACTTTGGCATTTCTAATCGGAACAATAGTTCATTTAACTCACAAATTAGAAAGGTACAGTAGGAATCAGGTTCATCTTCTCGCTTAGAAACCCATCTGATTTCGAGACTACCCGATCGGTTCGATTCCTATTTAAATCAAAATCAGGGCCCAGGGTTGCGTTGGAGCGGTCATGTGGATCCCTAAGTTTAAAACCTCTGTAAAAGGTATTCTAGCCAAATTCGATAAAGCCAATATACTCTTAAATAGGCATTCATTATTTTCCCTTAATAATAATATTGACAAGATAAAAAAATGACTTGAGTGTGTAAAAATTGTAGAAAATAAGCCAATCGCAAAGATTACTGCGCCCGTCACCCTGTGACATAAAGTTGATAAGTCCCATGTACCTATAATTTCACCAGCACCACCATGTTTTATAGAATAAGATAAAACCGGAATGCAGTTACATGCTTACATTACTGCTTGGCAGCAGAATTAGGCATGGTGACAGTACTTCCTTGAATGAACTTTTTCACAATACTTTTCCTATTAAATGTTTTATGTGAATTCCTTAAATAAACCTACAAAAGTAAGGGCGCTTTTCCATTATGTCGTGACACCAGAGATATTCGTGCGG